CTACATTTGTTTTATTCAAATGTATCAATATATTATTAAGTAGATATCTATTCTATCCATTTTTGTTATATCTACCCATCTACGATGCACGTGTCGAAGTACATCAGTAAAGTTCACAGTTGTATAGGAGCATTTTCGGTAAGTACCTAACTAACTACATTATTAATAATAATTATCGTGCTCATTATTGTTATTAATATTATAAATTGTAACTTCGTACTAAAACTCTCTATCTACATGAATCAGAACTAATACCTAGAACAATATAAAATGAATAGGGTATATTATTATAATAATATAAACAAATATGTATTATATTTTATATTCCTCATATTGTTAATTCAATGTATTAGTTCTGTATTAATTGTAAATATTTTTGGGCCTGTGTGCTATATTTTCATTTATTTATCATTATTACTCTCTTATTACCTATGTCTAGTATTTAAAAATATATCTATGCGACATTGCGCAATTGTATAAATTAATAATTATTGTGGTTGGTATTAACAGAGGTACATAAAACATTTATTGGTAAGTAACCGGTAAGTAAGTATAGGTAACAGGGGAATAGGGGAGAAAGTGACTGACCAGCCTTCTAATACATTTTTTGATCTTTGATCAGTTTTTGTATCTGCCTTAAGTTTAATCTAGGTAGGCTACTATAAATATAGTAATGTATAACACAAAATGGGCCATCTGTCAGCTGATATTTACTTATTTTGATCTATGCCTGTTAGTTATTGTTTCAAATCATACAATAATGTTAAACAATGTTGGGTTATTTTATTATGATTTAATTTATATTTCAGTAGGTACCCTGGTAGTTGGTACAATTATTCTTGTTTTAATATTGAATTGACACATACATTATACTTATATTACAACTTCGGATAATGTTGTAGTATTGAATACTAGAATATAATATTATATATAGTCATATAGGTAGACATCATACAACATCATACTAGTTGTATCATAGCTTTATTCTTGAGAAAATATATAATCAATGATTCTTCTTTAAAGGATGGAAATGTGTACGGGATAGAAATTGAAAAGTATATGCAATGCCAAAAGTTAATTTGGATACCGATGCACTTATTTGGTGGAAAATTTATAAATCTGAGTTCCCCAATTTATCATCTAAATTAAAAAAAATATTTATGTATTCAGGATACTAGTGTACTATGCGAAACATAATTTAGTTATGGGGCTGTAATGTAGTAACTGAAACACGTGCGTCTTTGTTACCCGACAATGCTGAACAATTCTTTTTTTCAGCAAAAAATGCACATTTATTAGTATTATCATACAATTTTTAACAGTTATTTGGTTTTTCATATTTCGAAACTTATTTAACACAACACATGTTTTTCATATTACTTTGGAATACAGGATCTACAATTTTAGATTCTGAGTGAAACGATGAATGTATTGATTTTACAATGATGTGTGTTTTATTTTATTTTTTTGTGTCGGTCATTACGTTTTAGGACAGTAAAAGTGCTTGGATTTTCTTCAACAGTAGCTTTTCTGATAGGAAAGTGAATCTAGTTGGTACTTTGGGGGGTTAAAAGGGGGTTAAAATTTCACAGTAGTTTTCAAAACCGGCGTGAAAAACAAAATAAAAATTATGGAAAAACGGGAATTTTTACACTAAAATCTGTTTTCGAAAAAAATCGATTTTGGTATTTGGTTCAACTCTTAAACAAATGACCGTAGGTACATGAAATTTTGACTGAATGTTTATATTAGCATTTACTATACACGATAACATTTTCAAAATGTTTTGATTTATTTTGAACTATTTAGGCACATTTTCATTTTCCATTTTTTTTAAAAATATCAATAAAATGTTATTTGTTGGTTAAAAAAGCTTGAAAATTTAATACAAAGCTACTACTATATTGTTACAATGGCATTTGAAAAATATTAAAAATCCTTAGCCACAGTTTTTTTTTTATAAGCGTTTAAAGTTCAAAAATTGACAAAATATGGAAAAATCACGAAAATTAGCAAATTATTTTGAGTTACGAATTCGTAAAAATTTTTCTTTTTAAATCTAAGGTTTTAAAATGTAATACAAAATTCTTTATAAGATTATCTACCTTTGTCAAAAAAAAAATGTCTATAATAAAGTCAAATTAAATTTTTATGAGAGTTTGAAATTCAAATTTTTACAACTTTGGATATTCACTCGATTTCTCATGTACCTATCAATTTCCATATTTTGTTGTACTTCAAAAACGAATAATTGTAGATACATAAAAATGTCATTGAATGTTTATATTGGCATTTCCTATACACCATACAATTTTGAAAATATTTTGACTCTTTTTGAGTTGTTTACGGACATTTTCAGTTTCCAATTTTTTTAGTTTTTTATTCTATAAATATCAATAAAGTTTTATCTGTTGGGCCAAAAAGTGTAAAAATGTAATATAAGGCTACTTATATATTGTTACAATATCAGTTGAAAAATATTAAAAAAACATATGCACAATTTTTTTTACATGCATTTAAATATCGAATTTTGACAACATTTATGAAATTTAAAATTGAATAATTATTTTGTGGTTAAAAATGTATAAAATGTTCAAATTTTATAGCTAAGGATTGACAATTTAAAACAAGATTCCACGTAAGTAGTTCATTCTGTTTTTCTGATTTCAAAAAATCTAAAAAATACATAAGCACAGTTTATTTGTATAGTCATTTTAAGTTCAAATTTGGATGAAGTTACATAAAAAAACCTAGAATAACTATTTTAGTTATTTTTATTGTATAATATTATTCGTGGGTACTTGATACTTCTAAAGTACACTACTATATATCTATGATAGTATCAGGGTTTATTGTTGACGTGTAATAACGTATTATAAGTACCTAATGGGCATTGTGATATGATTAATTTGGAATTCATTATAGGTACCTACCTATTTTGTCAAAATTCGATATTTAAATGCTTATAAAAAAATTGTGCCTATGTATTTTTAATATTTTTCAACTGATATTGTAACAATATATCAGGAGACTTGTATTACATTTTTACACTTTTTGGCACAACTGATTTATTGATATTTATAGAAAAAAAAATTGAAAATTTGAAAACTGAAAATGTCCGTAAACAGCTCAAAATAAATCAAAATATTTTGTATTATATAATATTCATCGTGTATAAAAATGCAAATATAAACAACCAGTTAAAATTTCATATATCTACGGTCATTTGTTTTAAAGTTACACCAAAAACTAAATTCAATTTTGTGAAAAATCGATTTTGCGTAAAAATTCCCGTCTTTCCTAAATTTTTCTCAGTATTTCTTGGCGCTTTTGAAAATAACTGGAAATTTTAAATTTTGACCTCCACAATGCACCAACGATATTCACTTTCCAATCGAACAAAATACTTAGGTAGAAAATTGAAGCATTATTTCGACTACTTATCGTGTACACTGACACAAATAAAATAAAAAAATAAAAAAATTGAAAAAAAAGAACACACAATACACATCATTTTAAAATCAATACAATCATCGTTCCACTCAGAATTTAAAATTTGCACAGTCTTATAATTGAGCATACTTCTTATTCTTTATACTATTTTAGATTGTATGGATAGGCCATAATATTTTGATTTTTTGTTTTTTCAGTTTCATATATCACCGAATAATAATTTTCAATTACAACAAAAAACCAATATCGTTAATATTGATTTTAATATGTAATTTCGTAAAAATTTGAATTTAAAATGTAGGTATGTAAAAAATAACTGTGTTCATATATTTTTTAGACTTTTTGGTTATAATATGAACTACAAATTTTTATTTTGTTTCAGTACACCTACGTTAGATATAACTAATATAGTACCTATTCATTTTTATTTATTCATTTACTTTGTTAACATAACAACGCACCTACAACATATCAATAGACATTAAAATACAATTAACAATCAAAGTTAATTCCAAATACTTAATAAGTTCAAAGAAAAGAAAAAGAACAAACACTATATAATACATAGTGATCAATAATAAGATTTACATAATAGGATATAATGTATTTAAAAAAAAAAGGTGCTCTGCTGTACAGTAGGTTACAAGTGAAGTGGATCACTGAATAATGGATGGTATTAAATTTGAATTCAATGATATAATAGGTATCATTGTATAAGAAAAACGATTCTGAGCGGAGACGGTATGTCAGTCTAGGTATAAGATATATTACATACTTATCTATGGTATTAAAAAAAATTGACCTATATAATAAATTCCAAATTAACCATATCACAATATCCATTAGGTACTTATAACGCGTTATACACCAACAACAAACCCTGATACTATCATAGCTATATAGTAGTATACTTTAGAAGTTTCAAGTACCCACGAATAATATTAAACAATCACAACAAAATAACTAAAATAGTTATTCTAGGTTTTTTTATGTATAATTTTGTCCAAAGTTGAACTTAAAAATATTATAAAAATAAACTGTCAGTCTGTATTTTTTTAGATTTTTTGGTAACAGAATTTACTAATTACGTGGAATCTTGTTTTAAATTAAAAAGAGTCGAAATATTTTCAAAATTGTATGGTGTATAGGAAATGCTAATTTATAATAACTCCTACTAATCAGATAATATACTATGTGCAACGTACACAATGTTTAACATAATTTTTAAAATAACCCAAAATTAAAGTTTTAGCATTTACAAATAATTAATTAAGTTTAAAAATGATAATTTATTTTAGAATTTACCTTGGTTGTATAGGAGAATAAAAAATATTGTTTTTAAGTATAGGTAATTGATTATAATTATTGACTTTTATAATTTTTTTTTAGTTGTGTGTTGGTAGACGCCCTTCTTTTGACCCAAAACTAGTGTTTTAAAAATTGGAATTATATGCAAACGAGTTGTTTGATGCTAATGGTAAGTTACTAACTTAATTCACTACTCAAACAAATTATGGGTAAACATTAGTGAAGAACTAAATTCAAAAATGTCTGCAAAAGCTTTATATATTAGTTTATATTATGATCGCCATTCATGTCAAACATTATTAAGAGGTAAGAGTAACATTGGAACATTGACTGAAAATAGAGAAATATGTTATGAATATGATACTGATTCTATAACCGATAAAGAATCAGATGGGTTGATAGATGAAGATAAGAAACTTTTTAAATTTGATATACCATACAGAGATTACATTAACATGAGTCCAATAAATGTTAAGTATGGTAAAAAAAATTATAAAAAAAATTATACAGTTTTGAAACAAGGTGTGTGGACCAATATAATAAATTATTGGTTTATAAAACATTGTTCTATTCCATGTAACATTATATTTAAACGTTGTCGTGTAAAAAACGACAATAAAGATGGATTACAACATTATTTGACATTCTCTGGAAAATGTAAAGATTGCCAAGCTTCAGTTTTTGGATGGGTAAATGAAAAACCAAAATAAGCTATGGCATTAACTGACAATGTGATAGTTCAAGAGATGAAAATAAATTAAATTCATAAGGCCACAACACCATTAAATGGTGTTAAACGTCGTGAGGTAGGACGAGAACTTTTCAATGAGTGTGCAAGTAATTTGAAACGAAAAGCAGTAAAATAACTTAACTATGGAGATAAAATTTCAGCAAACACTTACAAAAAAACAGTTCTTCGGAAATGTAAGCAAGAGGAGAGTGATAAAGCATTGGGAATCACAATTAAATGCCCAATAATGTCCCTCATACAGTTTAAATATACCAAATATGCTGGTTCGATTCATTTAATTTCAGCAATTAATTTACATTTTAATTGTCCATTACTGGACGCCATGTCAATTAGTTTTTTATAAGTGTATTAGAAAATCATATATCTGATTAACTATTGATGCAACTGGAAGTATTGTAAAAAAAATCAAGTGGACTACACAAAACATTCTGTCCAGCTATATATTTGTGTTATATCCAGTGATGAATTTCAAGTTTCTGTATTGCAAATGATAAGTGAAAAACAAAATACATTTACAATCTATTTATGGTTGCAATCATGGTTAAACGATGGAGTTTTAGCTCCACAAGAAACAGTCACTGACTGTTCAAAGGCTCTTTTAGGTGCGATAGCACGTGCATTTTTTGGAGGCATAACTGTGAATTTCTATGTAAACACATGTTTAGACATTTTACTGCATGGCAAATCTACTGCAAGTCATCAATTGAAATGTTATATGATAATTGACATAGCTCATTTAATCAAACTAGTTTGACGTTGGAAATGTTGGCAGGGGATAAAGTCACAACATCTAAAACAATTATTTGTCAGGTAAATAATTGTATACATTCAATTAACTTTCAATTATATTAATCATATTATTAAGAATCAAAAAAATTGAGCATAATATAAGTACCTAATTTTAATAATAATAATTAAATGTTGCTATACTTTTAGCATAATATCTCTTGCATTTATTATAAAAAAAAATAAATAAATAAATAAGTAACTTAAGCTACAGCAAGCATCTTGAAATTAAAAATACTTAAAACAATTTATTATTTTTTATAAATTATAATACACAACTACTAAATAAAATTAATTTGCATTTATAAAAAAGGTGGGTAAGTGGATGTCACTCTGCTGTACAGTAGGTTACAAGTGGGTCACTGTATAATTGATGCTATTAAATTTGAATTCAATGATACAATATCATTGTATAAGAAAAACGATTCTGAGCGAAGACGGTATGTCAGTCTAGGTTAAGACAAATTATATACATATCTATGGTATTAAAAAAAAATTGACCTATAATAAATTCCAAATTAATCATATCACATTATCACAATATCCATTAGGTACTAATAACACGTTATACACCAACAACAAACCCTGATACTATCATATATATATAATAGTACACTTTAGAAGTTTAAAGTAGGTACCCACGAATAATATTATATAATCACAACAAAATAACTAGGTTTTTTAATATGTAATTTCGTCAAAATTTGAACATAAAATGACTATAAAAATAAACTGTGATTGTATATTTTTTAGATTTTTCGGTAAGAGAATTAACTACTTACGTGAAATCTTGTTTTAAATTTTCAATCCTTAGCTATAAAAACTGAACATTTTATAATTTATTAATTACGATGATTAATAATTTTCGAGATTTTGAAAAATTCTGTCAAAATTCGATGTTAAAATGCTTATAAAAAAAAATTGTGCCTATGTATTTTTAATATTTTTCAACTGATATTGTAACAATATATCAGGAGCCTTGTATTAAATTTTTACACTTTTTGGCCCAACAGATAAAACTTAATTAATATTTATAGAAAAAAAAAACTAAAAAAATTGAAAACTGAAAATGTCCGTAAACGGCTCAAAAAGAGTCAAAATATTTTCAAAATTGTATGGTGTATAGGAAATGCTAATATAAACATTCAGTGAAATTTTCATGTATCTACAGTAATTCGTTTTTTAATTACAACAAAAAAAGGAAATTGCCACATGAGAAATCGAGTGAATATCCAATGTTGTAAAAATTTGAATTTCAAACGCTCATAAAAATTTAATTTGACTTTCCGGTAGAGATTTTTTTATTGATAAAGGTAGACAATCTTATGAGTAATCTTGTATTAGATTTTCAAATCTTAGATTTAAAAAGAAAAATTTTGACGAATTCTTAACTCAAAATAATTTGCTAATTTTCGTGATTTTTCCATATTTTGTCAATTTTTAAACTTTAAATGCTTATAAAAAAAAATTGTGACTAAGGATTTTTAATATTTTTCATCTGCCCTTGAAACAATATATTAGGAGCCTTCTATTAAATTTTCAAGCTTTCGCAACCAACAAATAAAATTTTATTGATATTTCTAGAAAAAAAACTAAAAAAAAACTAAAAATGAAAATGTCCCTAAACTGTTCAAAATAAATCAAAATATTTTGAAAATGTTATCGTGTATAGAAGATGCAAATATAAACAACCAGTGAAAATTGCATGTACCTACGGTCATTTGTTTTAAAGTTACACCAAAAACCAAATTCAATTTTCTGAAAAATCGATTTTGCGTAAAAATTCCCGTTTTTCCTTAATTTTTCTTTTGTTTTTCCCGGCGCTCTTGAAAACTACTGGGAAATTTAAATTTTGACCTCCCCAATGCACCAACGATATTCACTTTCCAATCGAACAAGATACTGAAGTCGAAAATCGAAGCATTATTTCGACTACTTATCGTGTACACAGACACAAAAAAATAAAAAATAAAATAAAAAAAAAAATAAAAAAAAAAACACACATCATTGTAAAATCAATACATTCATCGTTTCACTCAGAATCTAAAATGTATGGGAGCATACTTTATAGCGCATACTTATTTTTCTGTTTATTAAAAAATAATTGTTCACTAAATTCACAGTCCTACTGTTTATTAGTATTATTTTGAATTAATATTATAAATTATAATTATATATTTATATGTCAATTAGCTAGGTACCTATTGTGAAAAGCTACCTAATTTATTTTTAGTTAATTTAATTACCATGTAATTTTTTTAGATGCACTGTTTTATTAATCAAGGCTGAAGATTTGTTTGATTTTCAATATACATGAGTTGATATTTTAACTGTGGCCTCTAGTCAATATGATGGACAACTAGTGAATTCACAATTGAAAAGTTCTTCTGAAGATGCGAGAATTCGTTTACTTGGAAGAATCAAAGGTAATAAATGTAATAAGTACCTAAATATATTTTGCAAACATAATAATTAAAAGTTAAGATGTTGTTGATTTTATGTAATTGTTAACAATCATGGGATTTTATAGCTATCCAAAAATAAAACGCAAATATGCAAGTAATTTAACTTCTTATGTGTATGCAACATTATTTTTATATACCTAACTCGTATGTTTGAAGAATAGAATGAACAACTAACACTATTGTGTTGAATATTAAAATTAAATTTTAAATTTGATTTATGTGTATCACCAAACAAATTTTAAGCTAACTATTCTACATTTTTAAATAATATAGGTGTCTAATAATGATACCTGTACATTTATTTACTTGTTATTACCAATAAATTTATTTATTTTATTATTAGGTACAGATTATCCAATAAAATATGAAGAAACTTTACTAGACACAAATTCAGATGATGAATTTGAAAATAATGAAATTATCGAAGACTTGAGTTTTTCAAATGTCGTTGAGTTTCTACAACGCGTGGTAGAAAAGAGTAGAAAAAAGTCTTCAATACCTGGGGATGGCCTAAACTCTTACTGCCACAAATACAGCCGAAATCGAGTTCTTTCGGTAAAATTATTATTTGCAACAAATATTTAAATATATCATTCAAATATTAATCAGTTTATTTTTTTTTAAACGTATATCCAATGTTATATCGAAGGAAAAAAAATGTTGATCTGAAATTAGCAGTACATATTACTACATATTCGGCATTGAGAAGCATTGACCATATGGTAGAGATTTTAAAAGCATTTGGTAAAGGATCATGTTTGGAAAATGTACGCATGCAACGCACTAAATGCACAAAACTAATTGTTGAACAACTTGTTCAACATGTCGGCAATAAAGGATATTCCCTTATTGTGGATGAATCTACCAACATATCAGTATCAAAATATATGGCTTACTGTATAAGGTATCACAGTGAAAGTTTGAACCGTATTACTATTGAATTTCTTGGGTTAGCTATTGTTGAACGCGCCACAACAGATGCGCTCAGAGACATGACTATCGAAGTTTTAAATGAGTTGAAACTAAAACCCGAAAATATAATTGGCATAGGTGTTGACGGTGCAAGTAATTTATGTGGACAAAATCCCTCTTTATACACTCTTCTTCGTGAAATTTCACCAAACATTCAATTAATATAATGTATTTTCCACTCATTGAATACTTGTTCTTCTAAAGCCTCAGAAAAAATACCAACTCATATTGAATTCTTATTGCGTGAATCTGTTTCATGGTTTTCACATAGCCCACTCAGACAGATTTAGTACATTGTACAAAACAATAAATGGTGATGGTTCAAAACAAAAAAAAATTTAAAAAGTTTTATGCTACTAGATGGCTTGCTTTTTATAACTGTATTAGCATTATACTAGATCAGTGGTTGAAATTAAAAACATGCTTTGGAATGGCTGCTGTTAAAGAAAAATGTAAAAGTGTATCAAACATGTATAAAGATGATTCAAATCTTTTATATTTGACATTTTTGAAACCAATTTTAAGAGAGGTGACAAACGTTAATTTGTTATTTCAAAGCGATCACGCAGATTTGACTTAAGTTTATGGTGATCTTAAAAGTCTATTAGTAGCAACTTCTAGGAGAATATTAAAACCTTGTAGCTCGTGCAAGATACAATGAATTCTGACAAGCATTTATCCGAAAAGGATTTGAGATTAGGGAACTGACTGAAATCACTTTGAAACAATGGTACAATGACTTAAACTTGAAGATCAGAAAACTATCAGATGTGGCTATAGCAGAATCAGGTTTGAATGAAGAGGATGCAGAGAAATTCACGCCGTCAGAGATGAACAATACAAACTCGATTGCTGAAGATTCCACCGATGTAGCTGATGATGAAATTAGTTTAGATAATTCTGTTCTTATTACACATATTTAGGCATTTACACAAACCTCATAACGAAGAAATTAAATAATCAGAATATGAATGCATGGTATGAGAAGAGGATTAAAGCTTACTCTAGTAGTGCTCTGAGCATGAAAGATGACCCAGATTTAATCAAATACCGACCCAGCTTACGTTTTGCCGAAGGAGTTACATCTTTCATGGCATCTTGTTTCGAATTTAAAAGAATTGCCTTTTATACTATAAGAGACATTTCAATGGAAGAAAACAATATACTTTGTGAATCATGTAAGATAACCATGATCTATTTAAGCATGGCTGAGTTAACCTCATTTAATATGATTATTACCAATGTATCGCTACCATAGGGAGAGACCGTAGAGACCAGCTAGGTATTTTGAGTTCTGTTTTTTTGTCAGTTGTTATGACATTAAAATACACATTTTTATGGTCTTTGAATTTTTTTTACTTAACTAGTCACGCGCTGCGCATGTCAACTTTTTTTTTTTAAAGGCATCCCCCTGCTTTAACCACTAATTATTTTTCACCTATTTTTTAATGAATTTTTTTAGTTGAATCAACTTTCTAAGTCTAAAATTGACCAAGTTACAACAATTCAATTAAAAAAAAAATGCACTTTCAGCTTTTTGATTGTAACTCTGAAAATAATTATTTTAGGATTGTTAAAGATTAACATTTTTATAACTATTTATTACGGTGATATTCATGCGTTATTCTAACTTCAATTACTGAATAATTTTCTCTTTAATTTGTGCATAAATCATAACTTATTATAGCAGAGAAAACGTAAATTAGTATGTTTGTTTATTTCTTTACATTTAATGGATCTATTAGAACGTTAAGTTATAAATGTATTTATAAATTGTTCAAATTAATTAGGTACCTCTGCTAATCTAATACTTATCGTATTTTTCAGTCATTATAAGATTAAACATTAGGTTTACCTTAAAGTAAACATTTATCTGTATGACAATTTGATATAAAATTAAATACGATGAGATAAATGAAATAACTGAACATTTCGATATTTTTCATAGTTCAAACCGTGCGTTACTCCGTGACAAATATGACTCATTCAGATTAAGTTAATATATTGTTTATTTATTGGGAGTGTCAAAAAAATGCAAGTCTGCATATGCACAACGTTACCCAGGTATTATTGTCTTTATTTTTCCATAGATAATCTTCTAAGTTAGTTTCGTTATTTTTATTTACTTCAGATAGAGAACATCCTGTCCATAGTTTTTTTTTATAACTTAGAAAGGAATCTAAGAACCTATGGATCATTTTCTAAAAGGGTAAATAATTTACAACAAAGACGAGGCGATGCTTTAGGTGAAGAGGTCGTGGTAAACCTATTAGCCTACGTTCGAGCAAATCCCAGATGTTCAACACGGCACGTTGGTAGAGAGTATGGAATATCTCATACCACAGTTTGTAAGATATTAAAAAAATATAAAATTCATTCATATCGACCAGTGTAGTGATCCCTCACTAACGCTTATATTTTGAGTTCAAAGACGTTAATGGTTGAGTAGGAGAAAAGGTTGCAGAGTGACAAGTTACAATGTTATAATTTATAAGTAATTTATTTAAATGTTAATAATAATATAATGGTTTTACATTTGAATATAGAAATTTGAGGACAGGGCGATAAGAGCCTGCCCGAGAGATTAGTGGTTAATACTAAGTACTTACAAGCACTGAGCACTGAGCTAATTCTAATTTAGGTACAGACGGAGACTCGTATATATACAAAGTCTCCCTTAGCTATTAGGTACACGGTAGAGACTAAGAGGTGGATCGAAGGAATACCGGTGGTTTTGAAAGGTACCGACGCAGGTGTTAAAGTTGTCGAATAATCCTTGAGTTGAAAACTAGTTTATTCGGCAATATGTATATTATAAATCGTTATGCGATTCCGAAATTATTGAAGTGGCAAAACAACAGGGCGTGGTACGATATAGTTGTTGATCAATGTGTCATATCGTGAGAATGTACTTATGATATTTAATAATAGGAAAGCGAGACTCTGTCGGTTTACTACACCAGATTTAGTTCAGCATTTGAGTCATGGTGATGCACCTCGTAGACTAGCTTTTGTTGTTCAGTTGATGACCAGTTTAGACGAAAATCCATTAATTTTAAACTCAATACTATGGACAGATGAGTCTAAGTTTACTAATAATGGTGTAATTAATAAGCAGAATAACCGTTACTGGGCACATCCACATTGGACATTTGAAACCAATAGTCAAACGGTTTGGGGAACAAACGTTTGGTGTGGTTTAATTGGTGGTAAATTGTTTGGTCCATTTTTTTATGATGGAAAACTCAATGGTATAATTTTTTATTAAATGAATTACCAATGATGCTTGTTGATATTCCTTTAGCTCTAAGAGGTAATATTATTTTTCAACACGACGGTAGTTCCAGCTCACAATGCTCACATAGTTCGCGACTATTTAAATGCACAATTTCAAAATCGATGGCTAAGAACTTACGGACCCATTGAGTGGCCACCACGATCACCTGACTTTACGCCACTAGATTTTTTTTATGGGGACACTTGAAAACAATAGTGTATGTCGATCCTCCAATAAATCTTCAAAATTTAAAATATAAGATAACAGCAGCATTATCTTGTGTTTGTGTTGATTTATTTTGATTTTTAATTCAGGCCAACTTCGAAAATGCTCTCCCTGCAGTATAATTAGCAACGGTAAGATATATTCTTATAGCAATATGAATGTTAGGGAAATTATTAATAATATTACATTCAATCTGGGCTTGACCAGGAAGTAGCAACAGTTTGTTAACCTACAACTATAATTCAATATTAGAATAAAAACTTCCGCGGAATCACGCTTGAACATCCGTCCGTTGTACATAAACCCACTCAAAACAACGTGTTTATATACTCTATTCAGGGAGAGTTGACCCACTTGCACGCATGCATACTGAGCCGCCTGAACATTCAGATCCCCCGAGTAGGCGACCGGCGGTCTGTGATTGGTCGGCGGTGTTCGGCGATCGGCAGTGTTCGTCGTTGTAGTCAGTTGCTATACCTAACCTAACCTTTTTTTTTTTATAGCTGCTGCGATCATCACTAGCCCTCCAATGACGGGTGACAAAATAGATAGGTATGTCAGCAACGATACGAGTTTTGGTCCTGTTAGCGCATCCCACCCTTCCCAGCCATAGTCGTGGTTCTCCTAATTTCATCGGCCGTTAAATTACCCGCCAAATGTACAATTTTGTAATATTATAATCAAGACGAGATTAAAAATTAATAATTATGATTTATGAATAATACATTAATACGAGCTTTTTACTATGACAAATTACATTTTATCATTTTCTTGTATGATATATGTAATTTCTTTTTATGTTATTCATCGATATCAATGTATTATGATATTTTAATATAAACAAATACAATCAATTTGCGAATTATTTGTTGTTAATTGTTTATACTAGATTTATATGTTGATTGTGTTTATTTAAGTAAAATAATCCTATATATATTTACATATAACATTTACATTTTCACACAAACAATGCCAATTTGTAAGTTTTTTGGATGTGATAATGGTAGAAAAAGGAAAAGTTTGGTGAAAAATCCTAAAATTATGCTACATCGATTCCCAAAAGACCCAATTTTAAGGGATTGCTGGGTAAAACCAATATGACCAAACAGATGAAGATAGGAAATCCATAAATTTCAATTCTGGTAAAACCAAATAATTTTTAGTAATAATATTTACTTTAGTATCTTACTTGACTTCCATATTATTTATTCAAACATTAAATAATTATATTTAACTGTTGTTTGTTCTTTGCATTTTGCAAATGATAGTTATGTCATATCTTCCGGAATAAAGTGTAGAAAAATATTAAAACCAAATACTATTTCTTTGAAGTAATTTTTTTAAAATTATGATTTCTTAATTACATAAATACATTATTTATTTTATATATTTAAACATATAATTTGTATTTAATTAAGTATACATAGCATGATTGATGGTATGTGTGTCTTGAAGAGTTTATTACTCCTCAAAAAAACAGATCAAGTTGTAATGAACCAGTAATAATCACCTCAGCTGGAAAACTCTCTGTGTACGATTAAATTTAAATACAATCTATTACCAAATTACTCAACTAAACAGTTTAATTTATGATATAAATATTATGTATTTTTACTTTTTCTGCAGACAATTTCTGTTCAGCTTCTGCAGACCATAAGTAACTATACACAATACAAACATGAGTACCTAATAATAATACAATATTGTTTATTTTTATTTTGTTAGGTCTAAAGAAAAATATAGAATTAACCTTTTTGATGATCTAGAAGTTCAACCACTAGAATCTAGTGACTAGATCAAAGTTTAGAAAATAAAATGGAAAATAGTTCATCATATCAAAAGTAATGTACATACTTTTTTTAAAATAATAATTAAGTCTTCCAAAGCCTTTTGTGATAAAGTAAGTTTATTGTTTAATAACTATAAATTACATTTAAATACATACATTGTAAATTATAATTTGAAGATAATTAAAAAATACATATTCATTATTATTTTACAGTTAACAATTTACATAACCTCCTGAGAATTACTATTAGAATAAGAACCTAACATTTACAAACTTAAAAGAAAAATAGAAATTAAAGAAATTATTACCTAAGTGCTTTTGGTGTTTGTATGGTGTTAATAGAATATGTAGTTAGATAATAAGCAGTATTATGGTATTATAGAATATTAAATAATAATAAGGATTTAGTATTTGGATTAAACTATTGCCAGTATAGGTAGTATATTTTTATTTGTTAATTTATATAAAATAAAAAATGTCTTAGATGTATGCATGCTATTTAGCTTACCATATTTTTCTAATGCTTGTGTTAATAAAATTCATGTTTTCTAATTGTCTATTATATGTTTGTTTTATATGTAATGTTTTAATTATTAAAAAAAAAATCTCATTAATATGAAGTGTTTTAATTATTTATTTAAGTATTTTATTACTTTTTACTATTAATTTATACTCTAATCCGTAAATAATAATACTATAATGTAAACTATAAAAATGTATTCCTAAAATGATTAGACTAAAAGAAGAATGTGACAAATATAAAGAAAAAAATATGAAACTTGAGGAAGAAAATAATGTTTTTAAAAAAAATATTACGTTTGAAATGGACAAAGTAAAATATTAGGTATACAGATTTTATTTATTTGGAAGATGTTCGTTTTGAAAGTCACTTTGGTAATATTTTATCACAACTCTTTACAAAAAATCAAATTCAGCTTCTTCATCCAAAAAAAAAAAGTTATCAGTGGACCCCAGAAGATATTTCTTCGGCGATTACTTTAAGGAGTATATCGCCAAAATGTTATCGTTACTTAAGAGAAAAAAAAATTTCCACTGCCAGGTAATTAATATATTAATATATAAATTTATTACCTAATAAATTCAATTATATGTTCTAAATATATTTTGAGGTCTATCTACTTAACGAACTTGGGCAGCAAAATGTCCAATTGATGATGGAAAATTGACTAGTGTTTTATCTTTTATGAAATCTAAGGGTATTTTAAATTAAAATATGTAAAATTTGTTCCATGTATTTTAAGTATTGAAATATTTGAGAATATAAGTGCGGCATAAGTCGGTTCCCTCTGTTGTGGTGTGTCATTTACTTAATTTGATTCCTTTTCTCGCGATTAACATGGAAGTCGGTAACGGTAAATTCAAGATAGAAGAACGAATTTTTTTACTCGTTTCGTATCTGCGGTTGGATGCCGACTATGCCCCGATTTTTGCTGACTTCCAGGCACGCTTTCCGAATCGACCAGTACCTTCTCGTCGTAATGTGACAAAATTGTATAATAAGTTTCTTCGAACGGGTTCTGTAACAGACGCACCGCGTTCCGGTCGACCAGTAACAGTCACAATACCTGAAAACATGGAGACGGTGGCGCTATCTCTTGCCGAAGATGGAAATCCGTCTGCCCGTAAACTATCGATGCAATTAAGCATTTCAGATAGGTCCCTGCGTCGCATGCTGAAACGAATGCATTATAAAGTTTATCGCCCGCGGCTCGTGCAAGCATTACATGAGGATGACTTTGATCGCCGGCTTGAATTTTGCGAGTGGTACCTTGGCTGCTTAGAAGAGGACCCGCAACTCTATAATAAGATTTTGTGGACAGATGAGGCGACTTTTAAATTAAATTGTACAATCAATCGACACAATTGTGTTTATTGGAGTACGGACAACCCAAACATGTGCACTGAGAAACAACTGAACTTACCGGGCGTGTGTGTTTGGGCTGGAATTCACACCACAGGGTTAGTCGGGCCGTACTTTTTTGACAACACTGTCACTGGTCAAACGTACCTAGATATGCTGGAGGACCTACGTGGGCAGATGGATGAAGACCCTGCACTGGCAAGTATTGTCCATTGCATGCAAGACGGCGCCTCACCGCACTACGCGCTCATTGTGCGTCAGTTTCTAGATGCATGTTTCGGTGATTGGATTGGTAGGCGTGGAAAAATTGAGTGGCCAGCACGATCCTGTGACCTAACACCCTGCGATTTCTTTCTCTGGGGCCTACTGAAGGATCGCGTCTTTTCCAGGAATCCGCTCACGCTCCCAGACTTAAAAAAATCATCGAGGAAGAATTTGACGAACTCCGGACACAGGTCGAAATCCTGCGCCGCACATGCCGTTCTGTGGGCTCTCGTTGCCGCAGTTGCATCGAAAAAGATGGTCATCAGTTCGAGCATACCCAGTGATTTTTTGTAATTATTTAATAATATAAATAAAATCTATAATATCTAATAAATCTATATACAATATACATATTTAATTTGTTGTGTTTATTGGGGAACTGACTTATGCCGCACCCTGTATATATAAAACAAAATATTTTTAATGAAAGGAGATCTTATGAGCACAGCTGATAAATTAACTGTAATTTGTTTTGATGAAACCTATATTTCAAGTTGTAACGAGACAAACTCGAACGCTCAAGCCCGTAGCGCACTCTCGTTACCAGTCGTCATCAATTATATATTAACTACCGCGACGCGCTCTCGCGCAGTAATTACGCGTGGAACACCGCAACAGCCGTTCCCGACGTCCGTCAGAACGCGCGCATACCGCAACTCCGATATCGCCGGTACGCCGCCCGCAAAGGAAAGATCATTTCCATACAAAACCCCGTAACGTTAAACCCTTTCGAAAGCACCATAAAAATCAGCAGAACGTAAAGAATACGATGCATATTTTACATTGGTTTTAAGTTACGCGGAAAACCACGAAATCATTAAAAGTGTTTTACCTGTTTTACCCACCAAGAAGAGGACCCAAGTAGCATATATACTACCCAGAAAACGCTGTCACAGCACCAATCTCCCTGCCGAGTATAACACACCAGCGAGCCGGACGAGTTTTATATTCGTTACACACGGATGTGCATATAGTCTTGCCCGGCACCTCCCGTTTTACCATCGCGCCTAACCTAACACGACACCGCGGACAACCTGTCGCTACGTTACACGCCGCCGCCACCAGAGCAGAGCCAGTTGTCGTAACCAGACCAGCATCATTTGCAATCCGGACGTCAACAGAAGTCGTTATTTGCCGCCAAGCCCGCCATTCGAGCCGAGTCACTTGCCGTCAACTTCCACCAACAGCAATAAGTCGCGTACGTCAGTAGGTTACCTGAACGGAACCACTGGACCTCTATTCGCACCCTGAGACATTTTGTGTTTATACGCCGCCGTCAGAGATGAGCCTATACACACCGTTACTTCAACAAAACCGTGAGTTTAATGTTCACATCCCCCCCCCTTTATATAATCCCGATAAACTATTTTTATTGTAAACTCTCCGGAGTATAATTGAAATTTATATAAAAGAAAATAATGTTATAAAACATATATTTTGTATCAAAATAAGATGATGAGCATATTGGTTCAAAATAAATAAACAAAAATAATTACCAACCAATTGCGTTTCATTACAAAGTAGAATTTGTTTGGACAAAAAAAATGAAAGAGTAATAGGACCACATAAATGTGTACAAACAGTTATAGCTTGAGGTACATACAGTAACATTACTATTAACGTTATTATGACTAGATATGTATTAAGTAGATAAATGTAAGACTAATTCATTTACAGAGTTGGTAAGTAATTGGAAAAATGTATGGTTATGATACCCCAATGACACAAGAATTGTTACATCAAATTATTGAGCAGCAGCATAATGTTGGGTTTAATGTCATTGCAATGGTTAGTGATATGGGTTCATCAAACATTGGATTATGGAAAGCTTTAAACATATCTATAGAGAATACGTCCTTCAAGCATAAAATAACAAACCAAAACATCTGTTTTTGCTGAAGTCCCACATCTTTTAAAGCTAGCAAGAAATCATTTAGTTGACAAGTATAAAACTAATTTTTAAATAAATATCTATTAAATATCAATATTTTATAATAAATATAATTATTTCAGAGGTTTTGTACTTTCCAATGGAAAATATATTGGAAAAGGTGTTTTTGAAGAGTTGTTAAATTTAAACTCTAGCTAAGATTTTAAATTGGCTCATAAATTCACGAACAAACACTTATTAGTTGAAGGGACTGGTCGTATGAAAGTAAAATTAGCTGCACAGTTATTTTCATATACAGTTTTCAAAGCAATTGAATATGGCGGAGAAAAAAAGTTATTAGAGGAATATAACTGGAAAGAAATAAATACTTATTTTATAAACGTATAATTAAGTAGTACAAAAATTGCGTAACGTTTTAATTGTAAATAACATAAAACAGAATTTTTTTTCAAATGCAAGCCCTGCTAGGATCATATTTTCGGTTGATACATTCTGGTATCGTCTTTATCTATATCAGCTGCCGGTTAAGCCTACTAAAGAAAATTTTAATTTTTTTGATATAATATCTATATACCTATATATATAAAAATGAAGCTTGAAAAAGTTTTTTACGAAAGAAAATTTTAAGAAAATCCACCGGAAAAGTAGGAAATTTGGATATAAAAAATAAAACAGTGGCGCAACAGTCGGGCATGTTTGTTGATTTGTATTATTAAGATAGAAATACTAATATTTAGATAGGTGTCTAGGTAATATTCGTTTAGGTTACAGTTATAAATTAGATTTTATTTACTGTATTGTATATATTTTTTAATGAGTAACATAACCTATCTAAAAATGCAATAAATACAGGCGTAAGTACACCTGAATATTAAACATTTTACGCCGGCAATGCTGCATAATATACGTGTAACGTGTATGCATCTTAGAGCGCTTTCAGACGAGACTTTGTGGCCGGCTACAAGAATCTTGCCACTGTACACAAAAAGTAGACATTGCTTCACACGAGACACTACACCTCTCGTGTCCGATTCACTACGTTGAAATGTATAAAAATGTTTTCCAGACGCCTATTCGTGGTGCGAGCTCTTGGTTTTAAAATACTTAAATACTAAAATACGTATACCTTTTTTATTTAGTTATTTTTTTAAAATGGACGTAGATACAGCAATCAATAATTAAAAAACGAAACAAAAAAATTAAAAAACAAAGACTATTGTGGCCTGTGGGTACATCCAATTGTCAGTCAAAGAAATGAAAAAGGACATTTTCAAAATTTATTTCCCCATCTCTTACAATACCCTTCAAAGTTTTTTGATTATTTTCGTATGTCAAGGAATTCGTTTTTTGAATTGCACGATGCTATAAACTATGATATCCGAAAAGAGGATACAAATATGCTCTAGTCGATAACTACGGAAGAACGATTAGCTGTAACATCAAGGTAAGTTTATTTTTTATCTATATAGATAATTAAGATATAAAACGTACTATAAAAACATTTGAATTCAATAAGTAACACTGAAATTTATTAGAGTTAAAATGATAAATATGACATTTACATTTATATAAAAAGCAACTAAAACATACTCGTATAAAATACAAGAACAGTTGAAATAAAATAAAATAAAAAATAAACACCTTTGTAAAAATAATATTAAAATAAAATAATAATGATAAAACAACTTGCTATAAATCAACCAGAAATATAAAAGTTAAACAAATTACTTAAATAATAATAGATAAACAATTTTATTTATGTTATGAATGTATCAATCATTAATATTGTAATCATTTATATATGTTACTAAATTTGGTTCATTTGATGACTGATTAGAATATGTTTCAATAGGAGACACGTAGCTTTGTGACGATACTGATAGAGAAGCTGACCTCGATGTTGATGAGTGATTAGATGAACAAGGGCTAGGTTGTTGTTCCCCAGTTATCACTAATGGTTGTTGAAAGCTGGATTGTGGTCGGTGATATTGAGTATTATATTGTGTATGGTGAATTAAGGGTGACATGGGGATACTGTACTGCTTATTAAGTTGACAATATGGATCAAAATTTACCGGCATGCCTGGAGGTTTTTGCATCTGCAATACATTAGATATAGCTTGCATAATATTCAATCTTACTAACATTTTTAAATGGGCAGGTACTTGCTTAAGGTCATCAACAAGTGACAACATAAACAAGCGATCTGAATCTTCCATGTATACTTTTTCTCTGCGTTCCCTTTCTTGTAAACTTTTCGTTACAGAGTTGAAAAATTCATTTTCATATTTATTTTCAACAGTTTTTTGCCTTTTGGCGGGTTTGTGACGTAGAACATTTTCTAAAATTTCTCCAGTAGTTTCATTCAAGTCGCTATTAACTTCTTCAATGTAATTTTCATTTTCATCTGGAGAATCATGTGATGAACTTAAATTTGAAGTTGTCAGTTTATTTGCTGCACAAGAAGAAAGAAACGATAATTGATTATAATAAACATATGTTTTCCATGTACTTCCTCCTGACCCAGATTTCAAATTCTTTCTTTTAGCCTGTTCTCTAGAAAATGAGTTCCTCAAACTCTTCCATTATCTTTGTAACTCTTGCACTACAGTGTAAAACATTTCATAATTTATATTTTATTTGTAGGTTAATTATTTTTATTGAATTATATAAATAAAATAATAATAAATTTAGTAGAAGTGTCTTAAGACATTTTTTGTTATTTGTCGAATATTCTTTATTTCCAGATATCTCGCGTCAGGATGTACATTAACAGAGCTTCATTATGATTACAGAATTGGAGTATCTACATTGAGTAATATCATAAAAGAGACTTGTGTTGCAATTTGGGATAATTTAAAAAATGCATATATGCCAGAGCCAACGAAAGAAAAATGGGTGGAAATTGCAGAACTCTATAGTAGCATTACAAATGTTCCTAACTGTATTGGCGCGATTGATGGAAAACACATCAGGGTAGTCAAACCAGCACATAGCGGTTCATTCATTATACTACAACTATAAACATTTTTTTTCGATTGTTCTCTTAGCTGTTTGTGACGCGAATTATTGTTTTATCGCCGTAGATATCGGAGACTACGGAAAAATACTACGTCAATTTTTAAAAACTCGAATTTTTACAAAAAAATGATTAAAAAGAACTGTCCATTCCCGAAGATTCAGTACTTCCAGGAGAGAGTGTCTATAAACTGCCTTACGTAATTGTGGGAGATGAAGCGTTTGGTTTAAGTCATAATGTAATGCGTCCATATGCCGGAAAAAATTTACCACTAAAGAAAAGAGTGTTTAACTATAGGCTTTCAAGAGCTCGTCGATTTATTGAGTCTGCTTTTGGTATTATGTCTAATAAATGGAGAATATTTCATTGGCCATTAAATGTATC